TACAGACACCAATGTGCAGGGCAGGGTGATGCAGTAAAAACTGACAGCTCCAAAAGGTGCTGGACCAGCCCAGGGTACAGCTCAGGAGTTAAGCTGTGAGGTTTTGACCAGAACTAGGTGGAAATCACCTCTCTCTTCACCCCGTGTGTCTGTCAGTGTTTGTGCAGCTGTTCAGAACGTGGGGTTTGGTTTCTAAGCATGATTTGGGGTTAAGTGAAGGGGCACTTAGAGCAATTTTGAGCTTCGTGCAGTGTCAGGTGTAATCTGCTGATGGAAAGTGTCCTGTGCAGTTTGAGTGGTTGGGATTGGAGCTGATGACACAAACCTCTCTTCTTCACTGACAATTGTAGTAGTTATGTACTATTTGCTGAACTCCCAGGGTAGAAATCTGCTCAAATCAAACCCCAGGGTGATGAACCCTTCAGGTTTGTCTGCTGAGGGAAATCAGCTGGCGCTGTCCTGTGCTGAGACAARCCCAGGTTTCAGCTGCAGTGGTTTATCCCTGGCTGTCAAACTGAAGGGTTTTCTCTAAAATGAAATCAGTCTGGGAATCAAAKAGTATTTCCACCCTTCGTCGGTCTGGAGGGACTCATTTGTATGAGGTTTCAGCAGCAGAATTTGTGAGGCTGGATCCAGTGTGAGAGGGTTTCTTTGAAATCCCCACAGCTGAGGCTCCTTGGAGAATTGGGGATGGGAACTTATTTTTAGTCGTGGTCTAGGTTTTCATTGATCTGGGCTGGAAGCRTGGCAGCAAATGAAAGAAGCATTAACACTCGGTATTGAAGAGCAGGGACCAGTCCAGGAGCATTAAACCCTCAGCATCATGACCACAGCCCTATTTGTACCATTAAAAATACATTTGGATGCTGTGAATTTGGCAGATGTCAAATGTCTGTAAAACACTTGGTGGAGGGCAGCTCTCTGGTGTGAATAACAAAGTTCAATTGAACTGTAYATTGGCTAGAATCAAATAAAAATAACACCTTTCTTGCACAACACCAGGGAGCAAATAGAAAACACAGAGGTATTTTAACCATTGCTGGGAAAAAAGACAGTGTTAGTTCAGTTAATCCCCAAGCAAGGAAACTTCTGAAGATTTTTGTCCCTCCTCCCCAAGTTCAGTGACATTTTCTAGTAACACACATCCCTCTTAATTCCTGTTTGCATGTTTCCTGGGATTGAAGTATGTTCTTGCACAAGATTCCTGATAGGATGAATAAAGAGGTATTTAGAAATTAACACACCCACTAATGAGCTGCTGCTTGATGGAGTGATGTGACAGCTCCGTACCTGGGCTGGGAGGGGAGGAGGAGGCTGTGTCCATCTGCAGCACTGCAGGGATTTGGAGAGACTGCCTATAATTCACTGGGCTGTTTTTTTTTGGCAGGAACATCGTTGCTAGCACTGTTTTTGTGTGTATGAATGTCAGCCTGGTACTGTAATTCACGGGAACATAACCTTTTAAAGAATGCATCACTTCCAAATTTAACAAACAACTCAGGCTTGTCCCACCTCTCGCTYGGGTTGTTTTCTTCTCTCCTTTTGCTGCTTGGAAGGTCTTGTGTGAAAAGGTGGCACGAGGAATGGTGTGCAGGCTGACCTTAGGAGTTGCTTGGGACAATGCCAAGGAAAGCTATTTTTCAGGCAGTCTCTCGGTGATTCATGATTTACCTCTGCTCCCCATTGTTTTACACCGGTGCTTTGGACTCTTTTCCTGTCTCATCTCAAGGTGAAGGAGGTTGCAGAGCAGTAGCTGATTCATGGGCTGTGTTTTTCCCTCCAGCTTTGGAGAATTTGGCAAACAGCAGTGTGATTCTCACCTGGGCTCTGGCTGTGAGCTGCAGTTGGGTTTTCCACCTCCCGCATGTGGTGTCTTGAGTTTTCTGCATTTCATCTCTGCTGGAGCACAAGAGCTCCCACTGTGCAAACTGGGAAACTGGGCTGGCTAAAAACACATCAGGGCCTTAAACTGGGAGATCCCCTTGTGTGTTCCTGTCCATAAATCATGTTTTGGGAATTTGCTTTGTGCTGGGAAGCACCCGTAAGGCACACCCCACATCCCCTGCTCCCCTCCTGTGTGCAGGAATCGTGGGACACACTACACCACAGGAGGAGGAATGTGATCCATGGCTGAAGCCTTGCTTTGAGCACTCTCTCTTGAGCTCTCCCCCTGTGCCTGCTCCTGCCCTCTTTGCTAAATTTACAGTTGGGAACCCCGGGGTCAAACATTCTGGAGAAAGCCTCGGACACCGCTGACCGCTGGCTCTGCCTCCCGGCGGCCGAGCCGTGTCCCTCAGCTGGTGCTGGGACTCAGAGGTTGCATCAAGTTGAATAAATAATGCTGCTGGGTTAATTGTAGCTTGCAGGCTCGGTTGTTGATTRGAGTCATATGGTGTTTTTCCAGCACGTCGCAACCTTAGTTTCAACATCCTCGTTTCGTATAACCACAATAGATTCTGTCTCCAGCATCTCTTGATTTATTCGTGCTCCTCTGCCCCCRGAATGAACTGCTGCTGGAGGAAAGGAAATGCAGTAACTTCACTCCTGGTTGCTGTTTGGGGTGTGGACATTTCCATGTTTCCCTGTTGATGAGGAAAGCAATAAATTAGTAACGCAAGGTGAACCCTGCATCGGGCCACAGCTGGGAGATCGCTGCCTGCCATCCATCACAGGAACCAGACAGTGCAACAAAAGCAATTCCTATTCTCTAGATATTGTTTTTCCTTAAAATTTCTGTCCCAAAAGCAGTAAGAAAATGCTTTTAAAATTCACGATTCACTGTTTTAGCAGGAAGAGAGTATGAGGGGAAATACTTTCTTTCCAGTATAGCATAACTTTCAGCGTGGCTGTGTTTTCCCCTCTCCTTTTACAGTTGAAAGAATAGTCATTAGTTACATTAATAAACTTCTCTATTGCACCTTGAGCAATTAGACCTACTTGCATGCCCTACATACTGGTTTCTTATCCCCTAATAGCACAATTTATTGAATAGGAGATGTTTTGTTAYAGTTGAAATTGATTTTTCCTTCATTTTTCTATTTGCTTTACTCTGTCTTTACAATGACTAGGATGGTGATGTGTTTTCTTCATTATTGGTTAATTTTCTTTATTTCTTTCCTCTACACACAGTATTTTACTTTCAGATGCTGTAATTAAGATAAWAGATTTCATTGGTTTCTTTAAACTTTCTTCTGGTTCTTTTTAATTGTTGATGTGCAAGAAATAACATTTTTTTATTCAGTTCTGAACTTCTCACCAGTTTTAATTGTTGAGGGAACAGAATCCCATTTCCCTCAGCTCGATGTTCAAAGGGCAGTTTTTAGCTGGGGATTTTGCCCCCCCGTGTGTGCTGCTTTCCACTGAGCAGCAGTGTCCTCTAGGTGTTATCCACTTCCTGTCAATGGTCTCTGCTGATTTTTGTCACAATATTTTAAAATATCACCATTAGAGAAATTAGTTCTTTGACGAAACTCTGACATTTTGCAGAAAAATTGGCGTTTGACATCAGTGCTGAAACAAAGGGAACCACAGCATTTGGTATCTGTGAAGGATTTCAKGCTGATTGTTTTATGGAAACACAGCAATAGGTATCTGTGAAGGATTTCAGGGTGATTTTTTTTTAATTTTCTACAGACCTATCCAAAGCTCAGCCTGTGTAGGACAGTTGCTGCTTGGTTAATAACCCACTTGAGTAACATGCTGCAGGCTTGAGTACAGAGACACAGCTAAATATGTTGAAATTTTGGTTTTTCCAAAGCCAAAGCCTCTAAATAGAGGAGAAAATTGAATTCTCCAAGGTGGCTGGAGCCTGAGGGGAGGCTGCTGGGGGTGCTGAGGGTGTCCTTTTTGTGTGTTCATGTCCCTCATGAACATCTGTCTGGCAGTTCTGTGACACCARTCAATAAAGCATTAACTTTCACATGATTCACAACATATTTCAGAGGAGACTTTTTTTTTTTCCCTCCCCCCTTCTGGAAAATGAATTATAAACCCTCTCCAGCTTTTATACTTTTATTATAACACAGCTATATTCCAGCAAAAGCTGCTGGCAGATAGTTTCCTCATCCATTTCCAAATGAAGATGTGTTAAATTTATTTGCTGAAGGAACTTGTMGCTTGTGCTGTAACCTTGGTCATGRGACTGGAGGGATAAAAACAGAGGGATGGAAGCCCACTGAACAGCAGGGAACAAAGTGGAGCTGGAGCTGGAAATGTTATCAGATCTGGGAAGGCAGAACGTGTAGAATTCCTTCAGAAAGCAGATTTTGGACATGTGGCTTTGCTGATGGAATCCACGTGTGGTTCCCACTGGTTGTGTGAGGTCAGGGGGTGCCGTGGTTGTAGAAAAGGGGTTCAGGTGCCCTGAGARCAGCAYTGAAATYCAGGTGAGATCCATTTCCTGGGCTYYACCTCTTTAGCTGCCAAACCTGTGCTTGGAGAGAGCCATTGCTCCTGCAGGTGGGTGGGGGGCTGAGCTGCCCATTCCAAAGGAATCAGCATCACGTTTTCCAGCAGGATAAAATCCTACTAATTCAGCAGGCACTCCATGTTCCATGGRTAATCTTGTGTACCTTTAATTTATAATTAATGATGAGCATAGAGGTCTCGTGGAGGTTTCATTTTTCTGCTYTAAGTGTGTGTCGATCAGGAATAAATTCTACCTTTTTTTCCACGCTTAGTGTTTCAAAATATATCCCAGTAACCTTAGAGACTTGCTGTCATAGAATATCTTGATRAAATTTTGCCAAAGCATTATTATAAAATGGATATTGAAACCCTGGCCCACTCAGGTTCAATATTCCAACGTGGTACATTGACTTTTGTCGTGCTGCTGATATTTTCTTTGTGAGAAAACTGCTCTCCTCTACTGCCCCAGCCCCAGGGAGTGATGAGAGCAACTGTATTTCTTAGAAAGGTGAAAACTGAATGCAGATTTTTCTTTCCACTCTGACCTCGTTTCTTTTCCAGGCCCTGGAAGAAGCCCAGAAAGCCATTCAACAGCTCTTCGGGAAAATTAAGGATATTAAAGACAAGGCTGAAAAATCTGAGCAAATGGTGAGCAGCACTTTTTTCCTGGCCTTTGAAAGGGAGGGGACACTGATTTCTGCTGCCAGGGACATTTTTGTCCTTGCTCCTGACTTCTTGGTGATTTCCTGTGTTGAACCTGAAGTGTTCACAAGGGCTGCAGAGCGACACCTCTGCAGTCCCAAAGAGGGGAGAGCAGTTTCTTATCTCCTGAACATTTCATTGCTGGGGCTTGATGTTTAAGCAGAATCYTTTTTCATTCACCAGGTTAAGGAGATCACCCGGGATATCAAGCAGCTGGATCACGCCAAACGTCACCTGACCACCTCCATCACCACCCTCAACCACCTCCACATGCTGGCAGGGGGGGTGGATTCTCTGGAGTAAGTGGGGGAAATTTTGGTGGTACTTTGACACCACTTTGGAGGGAATTTTGTTCAACAGGCTGGGTTTCTGCTGGCCAATCTTTTCTGTGTAGCTCCCAGTGCCCCTCAGYGTGTTGTTGTGTTTAATAGTTTGCAGCATTGATTGGTGATAAGGAATGAGTCTGGCTTCGTTAAGGAGTGAGACAGCCCGTTAGGAACCCTCATCAGGGATGTGCTCCTGGGAATTGGGGAGATTTTTGTCAGTCTCACATCTAGAACTGCAATGAGTTCTCTTTTTGGTAAAGGTCTGTTTTTCATTCTAGCCTGAATTTAAGGAAACCTTACAGCTTGTCCTGTGTACGAGTTGGGGGTTAAATATTTCTAACAATCCTTTGTGGGTTTTTTTATTTGCTTGAGGAACACACAGTCTAAGAAAATCCAGTTTTTTACATGTTGCATCTGTGAAGTTGCACAGCCTGTTCTCGGTCTGCAGCAAACCCTGCACGAACRCCGGGTCGTGAAGCGCTGAGAATAAAATTTTACTGAGCCTTCTGTCTCCACTGGAACGATCCTAAAGGATGATATAAAAATAAATTAACTTGATTTTCTCTTTTCACTGTCAGTTCCCTGTGAAAGTTATTAACAGAGAAGTCAAGGCTAATGGCTTTTCAGCATCGTTCTCCTCCCTGAGAAGCTTTAACTCACACTTTGTGTGTGATGACGAATGGCTTCKCTCAGGTCATTACAGTGAAATAACATTTACTGCCTCCGGACCCATACTGGGAAGCGGATGCATTCAGTAGTTTACATGTTCCTTGCCAAGTGTTGCTTTTGACATTTCTGGGTTTTTTTTTTTTTTTGAGCCATTGTTAGATGTGTGCCAGATTGGTTTATTTTAGCGTCGCTAAAGTGAAATTTTAATGCTGCGTCGGAATGTTAATGAAGAGCTGTGTGTTTTAGAAAAATAAATGTCAATAGGGACCAGCGTGACCCAGTGGGGGGTGAAGTAACCTGTGGAATTACCACCCAGGATTTTCACTCAATCTGCTTTTGTAAATCTTTAATTTCCTCTGCAGGGCTATGACCAGGAGGAGACAATATGGGGAAGTCGCCAACCTTCTCCAAGGTGTTGTGAACGTGTTGGAGCACTTCAACAAATACATGGGGATCCCTCAGATTCGACAGCTCTCTGAGAGGTAAAAGGTTCAAACCTTGAGCATTTCCTTTCCTGCTGGAACCCTAACCCCTGGGTTAGGGTTAGGGATAAGGTTAAGGGTAGGGTTAGGGTTAAGTTTAAGGGTAGGGTTAGGGGTAGGGTCCCTGATGTGAAGGAAGGGTTGGAAATGTCTCAGGTAGATTGAGCATCTCAAGGTTGAGTAGTCTGGACATGGTCCTTGGAGCTTCTTTGCAGCCAAAACAAACAGGTGGAGAGGAACAAATTGGACAGAATTTGCTCAGAGCTGGAGCAGCCYATTCTGCTAATTTGCAGTAATTAGTGTAGGTATAACTTCCTCTGTTCTCCTCACTGACTGGCTTCTCATTTTCTTCCCTGGAGGAACGTGTGGAAGTGCAAACTGTTCCGTGTGCTCTTCCCRTGCAGGTGTTTGTGCTGAGCCCTGAGGTGACATTTTCTCCTCTCTGTTGAGCCCAGTGATGGGGCTCAGCAGCCTGGCAGGAGCACAGATCTATTCCTGAGCAYGGTGATGCCTGGAGCCCTTTCTACATCACCGTGAGCGTCAGTGCTGCTGAGTTCTGTCAGTGCCCCAGGGCTTGGACAGGCAGCAATTCTCCTGTGCCTCTGCCAGCCTTGGTTATTCTGAGCACCTCAGTTTCTTCTGCCAAAACCTGCTCTCATTGCCCAATTCTGCTGAGATTTGAGGATTATAGCAAATCTTCCCAAACTGGCACCAAGCACACCTGACTGCTCTAAACATTTGAGCTGTACAGCTTTGATTTTCTGAAGTGGAGTTACACTTTAATTGGTTGGGTTTTGGTGCASGTCCCCACAGGTGAAGGCTCAGTGGTGTCTCAGCCACCATTTCTCCTCAGTCTTGGCTTCATTTGGGATGTGACAGCTGGGAATTGAGGGAACAAGGCTCTCCCTGTTCTATGGGACATTGCTGTCCCTGCCTGAGGTGACTTTGCTTGTTGCAGATGTACTTGTAGGAGTCTTCCAGTAACTCATTTTTTGGTGACTCCCTTTGCTAAGACAGCAGCTGGCTCACTGTGTTGTTTAGTGATGGAAACAGAGTTTGAATGATTTGTTTGTAATGTTTTTATTTAACTCTGTTAGACTTTCTTTATGGTGCAGATCCCTCTTCCAGAAAACACAGATGGAATCCATGAAACAGCACAAGAGAAAAATCCTCTCTGAATCTAAAGAGAGGGATGGGGCCTTGTTTAACAGAGCATTTGACCATAAGCATTTGCTTAAATGAACACAAGCATCAAGGAAATGTAAACATATGTCAGTGCTTTTCTGAGTTTGGGCTGTTGTCTATTCCAACCTTATTCTTGCTTCATTTTCTTCCAGAGTGGTAATGCCCTTTGGGCAGAAACCTGCTGTCACTGGCCATTTTAAGGCCAAACATAATTTAATCCTTGGTTCAGAATTCTGCCTGGTTTTCACTTTCTGGTGGATGATTATTTAACACATTTGTAGTTGCTGGTTGTTCTAAAAACCAATCCAGGCTTCTGCTAAAACACACAGTGGTTTCRAGTCACGCCAGCGAGACTGGCAAGGACGTGGAGGAAAACTTCTTTTGTTTGATTCTCCCTTCAAGATAAGGATCTGAAAAGCTCAAGCAAGTCTGTTCCTCCTATTTTTAGAGTTGCCTCGGCAGGGTTTTCCTCCCAGTGTTTATACAGGGAGAGCTGCACCATCTGGTAGTGATAGAGGAGGCTGCTTGTGGGGAGAAAGGAGCTGCTCTGGGGTGCTGCTGGGAGCTCTTTATTGCTCCACATCCCGGCAGAAAATTCCTGCAGGGAGGTCTGTGGCACTGGAATTCTGCTTTGGAGTTTGCCTGCAGGTCTGTGTGTCAGGGCCTGGTTTGGAGTTGATTTTTCTCCCTCTTTTGCTTGGAAATCCTTCCGTGATTCATGAAGCATCAGAGGAAGCTTGCCTGGCTTCTCGCAGGGGTATTTTTAGACTGTGAAATTGCTGGGGTTTGATATCTCATGGATTTGTTTTAATGGTGCGAGTGAAGCCTCTGGGATGTTTGGGAAGGCAAGAAATGCTTTAGTGGATGCTGGCACAGACCTGTGACAGTAACCGATGTCTGTTACATACAATAAGTCTATTATATACGCTGCTAAACCAGCAGATTCTGCTGCTTTCTGAAATCAAAAGCCTCTTTTTTCTTGGTGTGAATGGAGCAAAGCCAAGTATGAATGGGAAACCATGGGAAGGAGAAGTTCCCTGCCTGGTGGTGTTGGACGTGCTCTTTGTCATGGGGTATCCAATTTAAGTTCCTGCTCGTGGATGCTGGGAGATGTAATGATGTGTTTTTAATGTTGCTTTCCACCTGTTCTGTCCCTTTTGAGATGAACCAAACAAAAMTCCCACTGTAAAGGAAACCTGGGCTTCTTGTGCTGACCCTGTTGAGTACTGATACAAAAATATAAATAGTTTTCCTGAGAGTGTTCCTAAAACAACTTCTGACACAGTGCATTCTAAATTATTGTAGTAAACAGGAATATTTTCTTATCTCTCAATSCTCTGCTGCTTTCTGCCTGTGGAAGGAGGTGCAATTAGTGGTCCCAAACCCACCCCTGAAAGTGGTCTTGCAGGCCTAGCAGATAGTGGAAAAAAGCCTGGAAAGTATTTAGGACAGAGATGATTGCAAGTTTGCCACAGAAAAACAGGCTGGCTCAGCCYCTTTTTATCTCAGCAAGCTGCCAGGCGTGGTTTAAGATTTCTGGTAGCTTTGGCTRAAGGAGTTGTGGTTTCTAGTAATTGAATGTCATTTGAAACATTGCAGTGGGTTTTCTTGGKTTTATTCTTTAAAGGAGAACAAAAGCCACTAATAATAAAACAAAAGTCAGAGGAACAGAGGTCATTAATAGCTGGATAAGCAGGGAGTTTGGCAAGCCCAGGAAAAGGCAATTCTATGCTGCTGTGGGATGGCTGCTGGGGGAACCTACCCAGGGCAAGAGACCCTTATCACACCCACCTGAGGCTCTCAGAGCTCCTCCATCTCTTATCTGGGCTTGCTGGGCCCATTCACTTTGTGCAAGTGGCTCCACACACACTCAGACACRTGCAGAGAGCTCCTTCAGCTCCTTCAGCTGCTGTTTCCACCGCATCAAGAATATTCTGAATTATTGAGAAGCTGACAGCTTTCCATGGGGAAGTGATCTCCAGTGGCTAAAGCAAATGTCCCCTGTGTTCTCTGCCTAAGGCAGAGGTGGCAGAAAGGTTTTCTTGCTTCTGGGTGAGTGTTCATGATTGTGAAAATAATCATATGTATCTGTGTGTGTGCTTATAGAAAATATGGAAGTTACTGGGAGGGCACTGGGGCTCTTGTCCTTGCTCACACATGCCTAAACTTGGATGGCTCTGCCCTGTCCCTCTTTTAGAAAATATGAAGGRAAAAAAAAAWTTCAAACKTGTTCTCCCCATCTGCTTTTGAGAGATTTTTATGCAGGACCTATTTTTTTTTTAAAATACATATTTTTAACATCCCTTTTGAGCATGGCATTCCTGYGAGTTTCTTAATTTGAGKATATGAGAATCCCCATTAAGACTAYCCTTAAGTACTTTCCTGAATCAGAGCCTAAAACAACAGCCTAAAGCCCCTGTGGACAGGGCTTTTAACTGCTTGACAGAGCTTCTTTTAAATTTGTTGAGTCTTTAGGAATCTGGCTGCTGCTCTTTCCAGTGGCTCCACTGTGCTGCACTGCAGCTGTTGTCAAATGGGAAGATCCCCACATACACTCAGAAGGGAAGAAGTATCCCTGCTGATAGCTTCCAGTCATTTGCACAAACCCATTAATTTCTGTGGTTCCTAATTCTACAGGTTTCATATTTCTTGATTGTTTAAAAGATAAAAAAAAATCAGTCTTCTTTTTTTTTTAAAGTCTTTTTTTCTACTTCTTTCCCTGGAAAATCAAAGGGTTTGGCTCTGTGATGCTTTTTCACATGAGCTACAAGTRCTTTCTTGTGCAGTTTAGGCAGGAGTAAACCTGTAGTAGTGGCTTCCTCCTTACTGAATTTCCCACTCCTATTTCAACATATTAGAGAATTCCTTTTGTTTCCCAGTTCTGAAGGTGTTAACTGGAGATTTTTACCTGGAAGAGTTTCTGAACATTCCTGTGAAGCAGAGAGCTTAACTGAGAATTAYGTTTGACATTGTGGGCAGGAAGCTTTTCCAGCAAAATCCCCATAAATAAATCCTGGGTAAGGCAGGTCGTACATCCACTTAAATCACAGATATAAAGTTATATTTCAGCCATCACTTTGAAAGGACTAGAATTTTCTGCGTTTGGCACCATGAAAGAATCCAGCGCTGTCAGATCATCTTGTAGGGTTTTGCCACTAATGGAACTGAAATGGGAAGATTAAAGAAGCAGATCCTTCCTTGATAAGGTTGAGGAGTCTTAAACAAGCACGAAAAAAGCTCCCAAATCTTCTCCCCACRGTCTGAACAAACATTTTCACAACAGTAAATATTGCCAGTCTTGCTGAAGTATCAATCTCAGTGGAAAAATCCACTGCTTTGAGTGATCAGTTTAGACCTGAAAGTGTTTCCAGTATAATAAAAACTGATGGAAGGATTCAAGGGCTGCAGAGGGATGTGAATGCCTCAGTGTTTGCTTTGGCTCTTTCCAGTGTGTGTAGGCATTTCCATTTCCCTAGAAGTATCAATTAAGCTGTATTGACTTTTATTTCTGGAAATTGGAAGCTTTATTCTCTCAGCCAAAGAAAGAGCAAGGTTGTGGTTTATTCAAAACTTCTACACTCRTTTTGTACCTTTATTCTTTTGTGCTTCTGTGAGACACAATTTATAGAATAAAAGTGCTGCCAGCAGTGTTCATTTAAAGGTGGATCAGTGCACCTGGAACTGTGAAGGGTTCATGGTGAAGATCGAGACATTGAGAAGTTTTTACGAGTTACAAACATATTTTTGTTGAAACGTGATCAACTTAAATCAATTTAAATGTAGATCACATTGGCATTAAAGGCCCTTATTGAAATATTAAATGGCAGCAGGAGAATCCAGGACATGTCCTGCTGCAGCTGAAGGGTCATTCAGRGAGCAAACACTCTCCCAGTTCTGACACCCAGACCTTCTCAGTGTGGCTCTTTTCCCTTCAGCACCCTTTTCATCCCTTGCAAACCTTCCTGCAGCTGCTGGTTCAGTCCCCCTGCAGTGATATTTGCAGGGAGGTTGTTGAGCCACCACCAAAGMCCTCCCTGTGTCCCCTCAGGGTGAAGGCAGCACAGAACGAGTTGGGGCAGCAGATCCTGGCTGACTTTGAGGAAGCCTTTCCTTCTCAAGGTACAAAGGTAAAGTTCTCACTTTCCCTCTTCCTCCCATCCACTGAGAGCTGCTGAATGTGATTCTCATTTGGTTTAATCTCATTTTTTCCTTCATATTTGGTCTCTGTTTCAGGGGTTTCTTTAGAAAGCAAAGGGCGTGTTTGTCATTGTTCCTGTCAGGAATGTGGGAGGGAAGTGCCACCCTTCCCCTGTCACACTGCACACTGCAGCCAGCGAGGGAATGCCCCAAAAATTCATGTTATGAGGACCCCAGTGGGATTTCTTTGGGGTCTCACCCAGTTCCTGGTTGTTTGTTTTTTACAAAAATTTGTGTTTTGTCCAGGGGAAKCSAAGCACRGGCTGTCTGTTGTCACAGTGCTACCCAGTTTGTGTCTGGTTTACTCAGCACAGATCCAAATCTGGGCTGGGGTTGAGACACCAATTGTGCCTCTCCAACATTGTGCATCCAAACATTTGCAAACAGGAAGGGGAGTAGGTTTGGATTTGAATTGACTTCCAAGACAGCACCAGTTCTGTCTTTCAAAGTCCCAGCTCTTCTGGTTTCTTTGTACAACTGACAAGTCCACAAATGAGGAAACATTTGGAACAGTTGGTGAAGGGCAAATCCATGTGAAGCAGCAGCAAAACATCCTTTTTTTAAAAAATGTTTCTAAATTTTCTGTTGGCTATGGAGCAACTTYATGTCCAGTGGAATGGAAGCAGCTCAGTTTTCATCCAACAGAAGAAAGATGCAGCAGTAAATAAAGAGTAGCAGCAGAAAAGAGAATAATAGGAAGGGCCAAACCCAAGATAAGCTGGATGCAGTGCAGTTTGCAATCACCCATTCCACTATTTAACCTGAAATAATTTTCTTCCTGTTTATTTGGACAGAGGACTGGTGGGCCCAGCAATGTCCTGCGTGATGCCTGCCTGGTYGCCAACGTCCTGGATCCCAGGATCAAACAGGAAATCATCAAGAAATTCATTAAACAGCACCTCTCCGAGTATCTGGTCCTTTTCCAGGAAAATCAAGATGTAAGGGAAGCTTAGCAAGCTGCAYTTGGATTTCACATTTTGCTCTGCTGGCGTTCACAACATTCAGGCTTCCACGGGTTCCTGTGGGGAAAAGTTTTTATCCCAAGGGCTTGGAAATGGTGATTGTGGGTGTGATGTGGAGTGGTGATGGGATGGGAGTCACTGTTCTCTCTGCCAGGATGATTTCCTCCCACCTTAGACCTCAGTTTCTTACAACATCACTGGAATTTTTAATCTCCTTTCTTAGGGTAAATAAATAAATTCATGTTAGATGGGTTTCCTGCCCTGGAAAGGGTTGGGAGATGAAACTCTGAAAATTGCAAACTCAACCTCCCCTCAGAGAAAGAAGAGACACCCCAAAATGCTTGGTAAGCTGAGGGGGAGGGATTTCAAGGAAGTTAATTATCTTTGTAGATAATTTTTAAGCTTCCTGTCCTTATGCTAAGAGTTTTTTAAAAATTTACCATAACCTTCTTGAATTTGGGAAAAAAAAACCCACTCAAAACAAAATCACTATTAGACCAAAATATATTTTATTGATTTCTAGTGTTTGACATAGAATAGAGAAAGGCTAAAATGGCTTAAGTTTAAATAACATTTTTCCATCAAAGTTTAATTTGGATTTGGGGTTTTTCTACTTTTTGATCCAAAAGCACAATTATTGATGGGGAAAAAAATCCCTTCCTGCTCAGGTTGTAAGAATTTTTGCTGGAGTTTGAATGTGAGCTGAATGTAAGAATCCAGGAATTCTTGCATTCTCATCCCACTGTTGAATTAAACCTCTCTGTCTGCGAAACAAAGAGTGGGACCAAATGAAACATTACTGGATTGARTTTTCAATAATCTGTACATGATTTAGGAGTACTGTTATCCTCATTTTCAACAGAACTCACTCTCTYAATTCACACAAGATAGGATTTTTGGTCTGGCATGCTTTTAAGCGCTTGGAATCCCACAGTCGTTTAGGTTGGAAGAGACCTTTAAGATCCTYGATTCCAGCATTAAATCCTGTCCCTGAGTGCCACATCCACACATCCTATAAACCCCTCCTGGCATTGTGGCTCAGCCAACTCCCTGGGCAGCCTGTGCCAGTGCTTGCTAACCCTTTCAGGGAAGGAWTTTTTCCTGCTATCCAATTTAAAGCTCCTTTTGGAGCGTTCAGAGGATGTTGATAGATGTCAAGCCAGCTCTGCAGCAGCTCTGAACAGTGGCAGATGCTGTTGGTGCTAAAAAGATGTTGTCCACGGGATTCAGGTGGCCTGGCTGGACAAGATCGACCGGCGCTACGCCTGGATCAAGAGGCAGCTGGTGGATTACGAGGAGAAATACGGGCGCATGTTCCCACCGGAGTGGTGCATGACGGAGCGCATCGCCGTGGAGTTCTGCCACGTCACCAGGTGAGCCCCACGCTGCTCCTGCTGCCTCCCAGCACGCCCAGCTTCCTGAAAATACAAGCTGGCTTGGCTCCTGCCCCGCTGATGGATGTCCAGAGGCAAGCTGCAGGCGTCTCTGAGGAATTGTCYGTGATTAAAAGGGAGCGGTGGAAGCCCTGGGAAGCATCGCTAAAACGATGAGAAATTGGAGCGATGTGGAAATCGATTTTCAGTGTAGCAGAGGTAAAAATCAGTAATATTTCAGGCCAAGTGGAAGAGCTGGTGTGAGTGCCTCAGGGCAGGCTCTTTGCCAGCCAGGGGTAGGGAAGCAGAGGAAGGTGCCAGGTAGAATCCCAGCAGCACCATTTTCTTTGTTCTGGGACCCCAATGGGAGGCACTGTGCTTCCCAAGGCTGGATACTGGGGGCTTTCCCAAATGGCTGCTGGGAGATGGGGTCCTGTTACCCACAGAGCTCAGAACAGCCGTGGTTGTGTTTGAAATGGGATCTGCAAAGCAGTTTTGTGCTAGGGAGCCCCTTAGGAGTTATCCTGAATTTTGTGCTGAAAATCCCTCTGGGGAATCGACCGAGTTCCAGTGTTAGGTTTCAGATCTTTATAGAAAACTACATTTGTAGAAAACCCTATTTGTTTTTCCTGCATCCCCTCTCTGTTGCAGGGTAGAGCTCTCCAAAATCATGCGCACAAGGGCAAAGGAGATTGAGGTGAAATTGCTTCTGTTTGCAATCCAGAGAACGACCAACTTCGAGGGGCTCCTGGCCAARCGCTTCTCAGGCTGCACTCTGACCGATGGCACCGTGGTAAGGGGATTTCTAAGGAGCARTCCTGTACTCAGCACCTTTCTCAGGAGAAAGAAACTTCCTCACACACAGCTCAGGTGGTGGAGACTGCAAAAAGAKTCACCTGCAGCCTCCCCTTGCTGTTTAATGGGACTGTGCTCAGTGGGCTGTAGCTGGGAAGGTGATTTTTGGTGGTGCAGACTGTAGAGAAGACAGCATAGGAATAAAAACAAATTGCTTGTGTGTTTTTTTGGTTCTCCTGGGGCCTTGTGCTGCTTGAAGCCACACAGCTATGGGGAGAACCACAGAGTGATTATGGGGTGGTCACAGCGTTGTGATGTTTGTTCTCTGCATGTCATTGACACATTATAATTCAAAGTGCTCTTTTCTCTTCATTCCTGCTTATCACACATTCACCACACATTCACCACCTGTAAGGTTTTCCTCCTGGCTGAATTTAGATCTCTCAAGAATATGTCTTTATTTCTTCTGACAAATCTCACAGAAAATGTGTAGCTTTAATTAAATTGGCTTCCCTGGGTTGTTACAAGTGAGAAGAAGAGAAATGGAGGGWGTGGTTCCAGCTGACAGAAAATCCTGTGTTTCCCCCTTTGTGACATGTCTAGAGGCTGTGCCTCTCTGGCTGTCATCTCTGCCCTGTTTCATACCCAGAATGAAGGCCACCATTAGAGAGGGCTGGRGGGACAAGCAGTGGGAGCAGCAATTTGGGATTTATTGCAGGGCAGTTTTGGAGCTGCTATTGTGGGTTATCCCAGAGGAGACCCTACACTTTGTAGCAGGGTTTGGGAGAGTGGAAATGGGACAATGTTCAGAATGGGCCTTTCAGGGAGGATTCAGGCAGTRTGGGTGCAGAGCAGGGGCTGAGGATGGAGTGAGCTGGGGAGGGGTGGAGAGGGACCAACATCTGATCACCTCTGTCCTGGGAAAAGTCACATTGCAGGGCAGCGCTTTGGAGGGCTCAGCAAAGCAAAACATGGATGCAGCGCGTGCCAGAGGGCACAAAACTGCCTGTCCTCTAAGGAACTTCCTCTTTTCCCACAGAAGAAGCCAGAARTGCCACCTCCCTCCACCAACCCCTTCCTGGAGGATGAAACTGGGGCAGAGACAGATGAGATCGTGATCGAGAAAAGCGATACGGACAAAGTAAGCCTTTGAAGTTCTCAGCTRTCAGAACCTCCAGTGGGGCCTGAGCTTTTCCCATCCCATTGATTTGAAAAGTTTGTTTTCACAGCAATTAATTTAGTGCAGTTTTGATCCTTTGTGCAGCATCCAGGCTCCCAGTACGCCCGTGCTTTGCTCTGGCTCACTTSACTGAAACCAAAGCAATCTTTATTCCAGTTAATAGCACAGAGACAATCCCGCCACGTGAGAGCAAGCAGGATTCCAGCCCAAATGTAACTACAGGATTTCTGTCAGAGCAAGATGAAATAGCTGTTTGGGTTTTCAGATCCCCAAAGAAGCTCCTCTGCAAACAGTTGCAATTCATATTTTGCCCTGTCAGCCRAGCAAAGTGTCACCAGGTGACTCGTTGAACTTTCAAGTGTCAKCTTTAGATTTTCGCTGCAGATAAATCACTTCTGGGATTTTTTATCTTTTGCAGCGCTTTTCATCTGTTACCTCTGCAAAGCAGGCAGCACCTAACTGCTTGTACAAGCACAGGGCTTCCAAAACCCTYTGCAAACATTAAAGGGTGAATGGTAAATGCAATTGTTTGAATTGGCACCCATATCAAAGCCTGTGTTTTTTATACATTGGGTGGATGTTTTCTGAATGTTCAGTTGTGAGTTACTTGAGGCTGGTACTGTCTCCTTGTTTAGGGGATTTACAGCCCTGTAAATGGGCCATGTACAGATGTGTCCTGATGGATGAGCCCCAGGACCTACCCAAATCCCTGCCCCTGGGGGGATGAGGAGGTGGGAGCTCTCCACCAGCACAGTGTGGTGCACTGCATCCCCTCCAGATCTTCACATGAGCAGGGCAGCCCCTCTGCCTTCATCCACAGCCAAAATCCCAAAACAGAATTATTTAAGCAAAGTTTTGCTGTTTTCATTAAAATACAGCTTGGACAGTTGGTATTATRTGGACTTATCAGTGAGACAGAGATTGGGAGCTTGAAGAGACACATCTGATGTGTTTTTTGGAAAGATCTTGCTTTCCAATGCTTCATGGCTGGCAGGTTGGCTCTGCTATGTTGGGATGAGAGGACATCCTTGGAGCAGTCAGCGGTGTTAGGATGCAGGTGAAGAGAGAATTGCAATAATTAGGGCTGGGTTTATTGAACAGCAGAATGCAGCAGTTCAGGAGCTGCTGAGAGAGGAACTGCTGCACCCCCTGCTCCTGGGGAGCATCCATGGACCCAGCCCTGGGAATGTTCTTTGTAGGGAGGTTGCCCTCTCTTTTTGGGAATGCCCTATGTCAGTGTCCCAGCGCTGGGCTCTGCTGCTCTGCAGCCTCCTGGGTGCCAGGTGGACTCCAACATTTCCATGTCACAGTGCCAGCAGCTGCTGGTCAGTGCTCAGAGGTTGGAAGTGATGCAGATCTGACCTTCTGGTTACTGCTCAGAGGCTGGAAATGCTGCAGATCTCACCTTCTGATGTCACCACGTGAAGGAACACAAAAAGTTGAAGGCTTTTCAATGGAAGAGCCCTTCCAGGACATCAGTGCTGAGAATTCAAGACACTTGGGAATCTTAGGAGGGAGCACAAGAATTTGGGGGGGGGGGGAATCCATGTTAAAAAAATACCTCTTTTGGTAATCCTAGCAGTTCGATTTAATCTGTTTACTTTGGATAGTAATAAAAGGAAACTGGGCCAGCTGCAGACCTCCTTACTGTGACAACAGTAACCTTTTATTATTTCCATCAAACTCRAGGAGGAAATAGCTTAAACATCTGCAGCTTTTGGACAGGATTGCACGCTCAGAAATACAGCTTCAGTGCTACTGTTAAAAGATTTAGTATCCCCTCCACCAGCCACGCTGGGAGCAGCGTGAAGCAGAGACACACGCAGAGAGCCAGGCCTGCTGCAGGAGCTGGCTCTTCCAGCCTGGTGAGTGGTAAACATGGTGAATCTGCAGCCTTGTGCTGGCACTGCCATCCCAGGGACTTGGCAGCTTGTGATTCCCAGCCATTGTTTCCCTCTCAGCTCCAGTGCATCCAGCAGAAACGGGTGCTGGCAGAGGATTTGGGTGGAGGATGCCCAGAAATGGTTCTGTCCCAAGGCTCTTACATTCTGCTTTTGGT